GGGGTGGGGGTGGGGGGGCGATAGGCAGCTTCTCCTGGCTGTGTTACTGTTAGAAGGGAGAAGATGGTTGCTGTTAATTCATCTTATCCACACTGGAATCCAGTCTTTGTCTTCATTTTATGAAGCTACTGGATTATAAAAATTGACTTGACAGCTTACTACTTTGTTGTCTTTCTGACAAGTGAAGCCAAGGTATGATTCCTGTTCTGTCATTAATCCCTTTATAATTCAAAGTAGTAGAGGTTTCCTTTCTGCATGCGATAGCATCTATCTTATAAGTGATCTTGAGCCCTTTGAGACATCTTCACTATTCTGAATGGTTTGAGGTTGCACACACAGACTATATTGTCTGTGTTTTAACATGACCATGTGGGTGGAGCAAAGCTCTGCTGGAGTTCAGAAGGAATTAAAACCTCTGATAACATGCAACTTTTTCTGCTGTAGTCTACTCAGTATACATGCCACCTGTAATGGTCAAGTTCAAAATCCATCAGGGAAAAACTCAAGCCAAAACAGAACCTAGGAATGATACAAAGTTGCCTGCATTGGTGTGGGTCTGAATTATGCATTATACTTTTTGCCTTACCCATTTTGCTTTTAATTTTTATTCTTGCCACTCAGAAAACAGTCACTTTTTAAGTATTAAGTAAAAGCCACAGGCACCATAACCAGTTCCCTCCCCCCATAACCGATAGTAGGAAACACATTTCTAGGACAAAATGCAAATGAGACTGTTATGGGAAAAAGTGACCTTTTATGTAATTTAATTTGAAGTTGGTTATGTAAAGTAATTGCATGAACCTTTTTGACTCAGCTTGGGGGATACTGGGATAATATTGATTTAAGCAATCATAACATCAGGGAAGTGAGAGAGAAATACTATTTCCTTGTCTTCCTTCCAACCAGGGTTCTGTCATTTAGTAGTAATAGATGCATGTGGTCTAGTTTTAAATAATATGAACAACAGTGCTTCCGCGCCTTCAGTTGTCATTTAATTTCATAGCCATTAAACCTGTTTTATAAACCTTATATAATGCAGCTCACCAATGATAGTGTTAATGCAGAAGTATATCCGAGATCGAGCAGAGAGATTTGGGAGCTGCTTTACATTTTATGGTGGAGATGAAATCTGCATGTAGCCCAGGAGTCTGCAGCGATGAGAGAGGAAAGAGCAGTGGCAGAACTTCCCGTGTTGGGGAAGCTGGGGAACTTTGTTGCTTACTCATCTCACTCCCTGTCAAGGCAGCACTTGGGCAAATGCCCCAGAGGTAGCTTTGTTACTTTTCAGATTGATCTTCTGCATGGTGAACTTGAAAGGCTGTGGTGTTATATCTTTATTGATGGTGAATATTAACTTATACCTCGGGACATCTGATTGAAATCCTAAGGGGTGGCTTGTAAGGTAAAACAAGACTTAAAGTGAAACAAAGGTATCACTATCTGGTGTATTTGTGTATTTCCAAATGCAGTAATGTAATTGAAAGTTTAACTTCAAAACTGTTTAAAATTCTGCTGATTGTAGCAGCAGAGCAAGAGCAGAAGGCAAGGGAAATGGGACTGGATTTCAGAGAACTTAGGCAGTACTGACAGCAGTCTGTCTTGTATAATAAAGGTAAATTGCCATCCTTAGGAAACAGCCTTTAATCAAGCTTCTGAGGTATGCCTCCAAAGTTATGCTAAGGACATTCTGTGGTAGGATTGTATCATTATTGCTGAAGAACCAAAGACCAAAACCTAATTTGGCATGTTCTTCTTAACAGTTTATATTATCTTCCAGACTTAGGAAAATAAATGCAAATTGCCCACAATGGATACTAGAGTCACGTCTGTGCCACAACTAATGCAAATAGTGGCAAATAGAGAAAGTGGGTAAACATTATTTTTTTTTCTTTTTCTGTTTGTGATAATGAAGAGGTGAATGTAACTCTTGATCAGTTGTTAACCTGTTTCAAATTATTGGCCTTTCTTCACTGTTTGGAGTTTGATTTTTATTGAAGATACAGGGAGAAAATAGTTTTTGCAGCACAGCAAGTGTAAAAGCAGTTATTGATTTTGTCCAAGATGAAGGTCATGCAATAAAACCTTCAAATTGGGATCTTTTTAGTTTTACCTGGTTCCTCTACATGAGTTGATAGTACCAGTGTATGTTGAAGCAGGTGGGAACATGCAGTTTTGGTCACACAGACTTCTCATGGGTGGTAGGCAGGGTGACTGAAAAGCAAAGGTTTTAAGATAGATTTCCTGGTGTATCTTTAGCTGAGACATGTAAACAGATTATCAATTTTAGATACGTAGTTTTGGAAGAACTATTTCAGAGCTTCTTCACTGCGTGTAAACAACTGGAAAATTGGCACATTTCAGAGCTAGATAGTTCACACAGAATCACAGAATGTCAGGGATTGGAAGGGACCTCAAAAGATCATCTAGTCCAATTCCCCTGCTGGAGCAGGAACCTAAATGAGATCACACAGGAAGGCATCCAGGCGGGTCTTGAATGTCTCCAGAGAAGGAGACTCCACAACCTCCCTGGGCAGCCTGTCCCAGGGCTCTGTCACCCTCACCGTAAAGAAGTTTTTTCTCAAGTTTAAGCGGAACCTCCTGTGTTCCAGCTCACACCCATTGCTCCTTGTCCTATCATTGGGCATCACTGAGAAGAGCCTGGCTCCATCCTCCTGACATTTGCCCTTAACATATTTGTAAACATTAATGAGGTCTCCCCTCAGTCTCCTCTTCTCCAAGCTAAAGAGACCCAGCTCCCTCAGCCTTTCCTCAGAAGGGAGATGCTCCACTCCCTTAATCATCTTCGTGGCTCTGCGCTTATTGCATTGTATAATTATGTAAGGCTTATATATGCACATATGTGTTTATATATATATATATACACACACACACAAACGGTACAGAAGTTCCATGTTTTTTTACTTTTACTTTGCAATCAGCTTTTCTAGTAACTGGCAAAGGAAAGATCGAGTTCGTTTCTCAAGCCAGTTCCTCAGCCTTTCAACATTTGTATTTTTGCAAGTATTTGTTAAAGACAGTTTCCATTTCAAGGCAGATAAAAAATAATAAGCACTGAGTGAAGGAAGTGGCAGTAATCTTTAGCCAGAATATGTTAATATGAACTAAATTAAAAATAAATTGATGCAGATTTGGTGGCTTTTGTTATTTTTAAATTTACATTTTTCTGTCCTGTGATGACTACTTTGTAGTGGTAGCTGGAGCTGTAATGAGTATGTTTCCATCACAGTGGCATGATTGCGTTGCTGAGGTGGACTCTGAGCAGCCTCTTCACCTGTCCTTATTTAATGTGTCCAGTGGAATGATGAGTCCTGTGCAGAAGACATCCTGTTTTGAAATTGTGCACTTGTTATTGTAAAGTCTGCTCCAGCCCTTTTCAGAGGTCTCCATTCTGGGTTTTCCTGAGGATTGTGTTAATCTTATTTTTCCTACTGATAGAAATTGTTACTTGCTAGGGACCAGTACTGGAGAGTATGAGTTAACATTGTATGCAGTAGTGCTGAGGTGATGGGAGAGTAGAGGTGTAGAAGGGACCTGTGTAACTTTTTCTCTGCTGCAGTACTGGAAACAAATGTGCCCCTCTGGGCAGAGTTGCTCAGGGAGATACCGCCTTCTGGACCTCTTCCCCACCCCTTCCTGTGCATCTGTACTTGCCATGGATGATGGCATCTGCTGTGGTATGTGCACGTGAAGGTCTGCTGATGTGGAGAGGGGCTGCACAAAGCACTTCTTAAGAGCTCTGTTGTAACTGCATTCAGCTAAATCTTTCAGTCTTACCTTTATTTTTTTTAAAAAAAACTTAATTTATCGCCTTTTCCTCTCCTCTGGCTTTTGAAACATCCTTGCCTTCATTTGCTTGAATTCCCTCTCCTGAGGATAAAGCTTTCCTCTTTTTTTTCCATAAAGCTCATCTTTGCACTTCTTCTCTTCTGTGTCAACTTTTAACTTCCTGCCACTGCCGTATGGACCGACTACTTGTCCTTTTGCTCCCTTTCACATCAGTTTTCACTGTTCTGCTTCTCTGGTGACACCAGTCTTGGCCACCTGTTTGCCAGCTTCTCATACCAAATCTGTGTTGTGCGGTTTCTGACCTTGTCCTGGTTTTTAGCTGGGACAAAACTGGGTTTCTTTCTAGGTTCTGACAGGCCAAATTCTTTCACTGCTCTGTCCTTTAGCCTGCTGAATGGACAATCAAATTCCTAATTAACCTCCACTTCCTGGAACAAGACCAGGTTGGGAGAAAACCTGCTTCCAGTCACCCTGTTTTCCACCTTTCAAGATTGTAAACTACTTTGAGCTATTTTCTGCTTATGGAAAGCCAAATATGATTTTGACTCTATCAGTCTCAAAGTAATAATTACACAAATGGCACTAAATGACCCAGGGCTGACGAGTAGTTTTATCCACATTTATTTCTGGGGTTTATATTGTTGTATTATTCCTTTTGCCTGGAAGATCTGTAGCCCTTGCAAGGTAAAGTACTAAGAAAGAATGCTGTATATTTTGAGTAAGTTCTAATGTACAGATGGATTCCTTAGCAGCATAAGGCACAATATGTCAACCAGTGACATTTCACTAACGAAAACAAGATGCTGCAGCATTGTTCAGGTTTTTTTCTTTCAGTTGTCAAATTGTTTTTAACAGAGATACCAGTGTTAGCAGTAGGGCTGATCTGTATGAAAACATGCAATTTAAGCTCTGAAACTCAGAGCGTCTGCTCTGCTAAGCCTCATCTTAATTTAGGGGGAAAAAAATGCAGGTTTCATGTATAAGGATATGCAGCGTCCTCACTGGTAGTTGTTACTTTCTGTGTATGTATTGGTCTCTGGTATCTAATGTATTTTTTTTAACTGCTCTTTGAAAACTAGGACACAAGTTGACAGATCTTGAAAGAAGAGAACTACTGGCAACAGCAGCGTCTTTATATGTGGCTGAACAACTGAGATCACAGCGATTTCTAGGGACTCCAAGGTGAGCTCGTTTCTAGGAACTCAGATGTGCTGATGCCTTTTGTTAATGGCATCTTCTCATGTACGAGAGACACTGGTGAGAAACTGCATGGATTCTTAATGTAGTCTGTTTTTTCTAAATTCAAATGAGCTGTGGCTTACATTTCCCTACTCACACAAGTCATATGTGATTATTTTTATTCTACATATTAGCAAACTAATAGGCACAAAAATGTGTTACAAGCCAGTACAGTAATTAATGCACATCAGGAGTTTCATTAATGCAAAATCTTGCTGCATTAGTAACTAACCACAAATTGAGCATCACAGATTTCCCATGTGCCCATTTGAAGTGATCTAAGCACTTTGGGATAATATGAATATTCAGCTACAGAGCTTTAAAATATTGTGGATTCATGAGTAATTCACTACCTTGAAGAAGAACCTTAATAGTTTAGCGTCTAATTCTGAAAACACTTTCTAACTGGTAAATGCTGGAAGAGTCAGCACCTTGCTTTGAGTATTTTTTTTGTGCTTTTCCCCCCCACTCCCTCATTCTTTTGGATAGCAGCTACTAGTTACCTAGGTACCTTGTACTGTTAATTGGCCAGCCACTGCAGTAGCCTCTGTCAAAATACTAATTTTCTCCCACTTGTTGGAACAGTTATGCTTTTTTCCTCAAGGGTGTTTCTCGCTTTCATTGTCCTCTGGCCCATCATTGTCAGTGCCTTGAGACCTTCTATTAGAATCATAGAATCATAGGATGGCATAGGTTGGAAGGGACCTTAAAGCTCATCTAGTTCCAACCCCCCTGCCATGAACAGGGACACCACCCACTAGACCAGGTTGCTCAAAGCCTCATCCAGCCTGGCCTTGAACACTTCCAGGGAGGAGGCAACAACTTCAGAACAACTGAATTTGTGAAACTTGCTTGGGTAGTTGGTGTTCGCAACAATTGCATATAGTGAATCCTAACTTCAGCGTGACTCTTCCTTCTTGCTTTACATTCTTAAATGTAGTTGTGTGAGAGGGAAGTCAGAATGCAGGATAAACATTATTCACATTCCATGCCAGTGGTTTGACAGTGTATTCTATTACTGATTTTACAGTGGTCAGGAATAAATCAAATGTGGTTTCAAGAAGTCTTTATTTTTATTTGTACCCACAAAGATAAATAGTACCATATGGTGTTAAGAAAGAAAAAAAAGAGACACTTAGGGCAAGCATAATGGCTTTGTAATATATAGCATATGTAGGGCTAGGTCATTGCTTGCCTTATGCACCTATAGGGGAAAGTCAAGCACCTTTTTATGTCCTTCCACAAGTTATATCCTCCATAGCAAATGGCATAAGGAAGAGAATAAGTGCTTGAAGGCCACTGTTCCCTGAGTAAAAGATGAATAAGGGAAAATGAAGAGGAGCCTTGATTGAGGTTTTTACTGGCCAGCATAAGAAGTTAAGTAGTCTGGTACTGCTATAGAGAAGTAATGGATTACTTTGTACTTAGAGTAAGGATAGAAATTGTTGATTTAAGTAGTGATTCTCAAACTGCTATTGCATTCCCTGCTCTGATTTGATTTTTTTTCTCTGGCTTATAAAATGTTCTTACTTGCTAAAAAGAAAAGGAGTCCGATTTCTGAAAACTCTTTTAATGTTTGCTTTTTATTGCAAGTATTTCCTTTCAGTACTAGGTGTCTGTATATCTTAATAGGGAAGACATACATGACTATTTTAACTGAGATATCAAATATGTAAATGAAGTATTGCATTGAGCAGTCAGGCATGGTCATTCATCTTGTTTTGTGCTGCATCAGGGAAAGAAATACACCCCTGCTTTGAAAAAAAAATGATGCTTGTTTTTGGAGTCCTAGGCTAACTCCCTCAAGTATATTTCTCCACCATGAACAGAGAAGGCAGCAGTCTGACCACATCAGGTTTTTAAGACTAGACTGATTTTTTTTCAGATTTTAAATGGTGAAGCTAACATCTTTTCAGTATAGGAAAGATCACTCTCTTGCCATGATGTGGTGTACTTATGTTCAGCTCAGCTTTCAAAGGATGGCCTTTTCTGTCTCTTGAGGCATAAGCAAATCTGGAATGAATCCTTCAGAAGCTGAGCCTTAAATTTTTCTCCCAAGTGGTGGCTGGGTATGGTTCTTATTGAATTGGTCATGGTTTCAATCCACATATATTGTTAGATCTACTTGTTATAATGATAGCAAAGCTGCCTGCTTGAGGCCAAGTAAGGACAAGATAGTGCAAAAAGGCTTACTAGTAATTTACTTCTGAAGAAAACAAAACCTGATAATGATACCCTTTCCTCAAAATCATGCAGCTCCTTCAGAGGAAAAGTCAAAGAAGCAAATGCAGAGTGAGGTCAAAGGATTACGCAATGTCCTGGACAGTGTTCTCCATTCCTTAGAGCAGCTAGTGGACTCCCTCTAGAGGGGACTGAGGACTGTGGAGCATACAAGGTACTGCAGCCCCATCAAGGATCCTTCGTGACATGTCCTGGACTTACCCAAACTGCATCTGACTTGGTTTTAACAAGTACTGATGTCATGGGTACTTTTTAGGGAGCAGGATTGTGGACAGAGAAAGCACAACGTTATTGGTATGACTGCAATCTGTTTAAAAAATATTAGTAAACAAACAGTGCAGAGTAGGAACCTGTGCTACTGGCAACAAATCAAAAAGGCCAGTTGTAATCTTGGATGCGGTTCACTGTAGCAGAATTAGGCATTTGGAGTCTGTGTGAATTTTGCATCCATGTTGGAGTAAGTAAGCGGACTAGACAGACTGCATGCTCCAAAGTTGATTCATAACATTCTCCTAATGGTTTGGAAAAGTGCATCAACATGTTGATTATCATCTTCAAAATTTCAGTTCTCTGGCACTATTTATGTTGACAGCATTTTTTTTTTTTCATGCATTGAAAGCAATTGAGGAATTTTTGTGGAAGGAATTGCACTGAAAAGTAGGATTTTGAAATAATGCATTAATTCTTGTCACAGCTGCCAAATAGACAGTTTTCTGCTGAACTTGAGTTGTATGCTTATCTTTGGTTTTGGTTTGGTTTTTTTTTTTTCCCTTTTGGGAGCCATATTTATAATATGCATTCTTTTCACAACTGCAGGGGTATTTTGTGTTCCCTTTCTTCCCCATGATTTATTCAGCCGAAGCTCAGGATTGTTATTACAGTCAAATAGATAAAGTGTGCTTGGAAGTCTTCACAGAAGCTCCACCTTTCACTAACAGGGCTACTAAGACTGCAATCAGGTGAAATGCAGCTGAGCCAGATTAAGGAATTGTTATCCCAGCCTGCTCCTCCCTTGTTCTCTGCCTTTTTCTCCTCCTCCCCCAGGTATGCAGGCACAATTTTGTGTGTAGCTGCTTTCTACTCTGGTTCTGCTAAAATGACCTGTACTAGCATAGAAACAGTTTAATAATACTTTGCTTTAGATCATTCTGACAGAACCAGGTTAAGTACTCATGACAAGTGGAATTATTCTGGAAGAGCTACAAGAGTGGGAATGTGTAGCAAGGAGGAAGAGGTGAGCAGAGGATGGCTCGTAAAAGGGATACAGAGGTGGGCCTTAGCTCTCTGCCACAGATCAGCCTAGTAGCAGCCTCATGGTGGGGGTTCTCCTCTACAGTTGATGATATTTGCAGGGATGTGACTGGAAAATATGTATTTTTGCAGTCCCCTGGGTGACTCAATTATCAACTGTAAGGTTCTTGCTATTGCCTCATTAGGATCAAACACCCAATTTTCTTCAGCTAGTTTCAATTGGATGTGAGCCCTGTAGTGGGATTCTTTGTTGCATTAGTTTGTGTAGCATTGTGGTTAATACAGGCCACAAGCTGAAGGCTGTTTTGCCTTTCCTGTGTTAGAATAAATTATGTTGTGATTTGGGTGGGGCACCCACAGGTGAGTTTCCACTGTCTGCATTGCTGAGTGCCCCTGGCCTCACCAGTAGTCTCCTAGGATTAATTTGTAAACTGTTAGCTAGAACAGCTGCTTGAGACCTGTGTGTGCTCAGAGTTCCAGGGATATAGACATTTACTTCTATTATGCAGTCAAATATTTAGAGCATTTTCTATGGGTATTTTTTTTTAATTTAACTGATTCTTATTTAACCAATTCTCTTCAGAAAAAGGTTGTTGTCGGGTGGTTTGGTTGTGGTATGTGGGGTTTTGTTTTTTTTTTAAAGATGATTAGCTAATGAAAATGCTTGGTATTTTGTGAGACAGATACTAATGTGAGTATTTCACTGTGATATCCAGATAATAGGGGCACATGTTTCCTACAGGAAAGAACAATGAATGATTGATGATTGCTTCATTGTTCAGCTTTCAGTTATTTTATCTAGGATTTTTCCTACTTTATTCCATAGTCCAGTTTATTGTGAAACTGGTGCCACCCACAGCTGCTGAACAGATTTACAGCATCTAGTAAAATCCCAAGATCTTCTAGACAGAACTTGATCTTGTTTCAAGTGGAAACATATTTTGGCTGAAGTGAGTCCAGCTTATTTTACGTCTGTTTGATGTAGTTAGCCTTTGAGACCAAAAATGATGTTGTACAGTTGAATCTTCACATTTTGGCTTCAGACTTGTTTTCATTAGTGGGTTGGGAGGGGAATGGGAGAGTGACTCTCCAGGTGTGGCTACATCATGCTATCTCATGGGTCTACTAATGTGATGTTTATACTTCTAAACCCAATTGCCTACAGCACTTCCTATGCGTTGCTTGTGTTGGCTGCTAAGTGTATTTTCCTAATTTTTCTATGGGTTTTACTCTTTCATCATTTATGACTTGGAAAAAAAACAGTGAGACTGTGTGTGCCCGTATTACCTGATACTGCATGCAAAAAGGTGGTAACACATTGGAAAATGTTTTATATTGCTAGCAAAAAACTTAAAGTTCTTTCTTGATCGTGTGTTTAATGTAGAAATCTGGGATTAGGGAGTCTTGAGTTAGACTCCTAACTGTTCTTGTGGGACTTTAAAGAAGTCTGT